CATCAGTTCGTGTCGGTAAACTCGAACCGACTAAACCTTTTGGGTCCGGGTCAAAGCGGGAGAAGTCTTCACGGGTCAAGAAAGCGTCGCGGGTTGACCCGTTAATTGGAATATCAATCATAATGCTAACGCTAGTGATCATGTTGATGTGGGGACGTTTGTGTGCGATTCTTTGTACGTGTACTTGGTGTTACTTTCTCCCTCGTGTCAAACGCAAACGCAATGGTGGCGGTAAAACTGAACGCAAAGATGATTTGGATTTGAACTCTCCGGCTTATAAGAAAAAAATCGTTTTGGAAGGATTTCTGATACGACAGCAACGTCGTGTTTAGCTGTGATCATGTTTCAATATCTTCTCTAATTTTTGTTAATTTGATATTAATTGAATTCACCTAGATACAATCTCCAATTATTCATTGATTATTATTATTTTATTTTTTTGAATTGAATGTTAAATATAATTTAAAAAGTTTTTTATATCAATGTGTAACCTGACAAAAGAATTAACTCATGAACAATGTTATTCTTTTTATACACTCTGCCTTGTTGAAAACCAGTAGACCAACCCTCCTTCATAACTTTTATATATCTCCCTTCTTTTGTATAATAGTGAACTTGTTCCTCACTGTCTTGTCAAGGAATTTCACTAAAAAAGTTGAAGGCCAAGGCTTCTAACCATGTCTTCTCCTGTTCATTTCCCTCCAAAGGCTATTAATTGTCGCCTGGAAACTGTATCTGCTTGAGAAGAGCTGCAGCTTGTTCAGAGTATTATCCTTTATCAGACATATTAGACTTAACCAATCTGCAATGTACTGATTTCCTAATACCTTCCTAGTCAAGGCTTCCCAAACTTTTTTCTGAAAACGGACAGATAAAAAATGGTGTCTTACTGATTCCAATGGTTCTTGACATAGAACACATGATGTGTCTACAGCCCCCCTCCACTTCTGCATACAATCATCAAATGAAAATCTGTCTCTTATCGCAAGCCATATTAAAAAATAAAACTTTGGTGTTGCATGTTTAAACCTAATCGCTTGATGCTAGTCATATATCTGGTGTTTCTCTCGAACCACTTTCCATGTCTCAATTGTAGAGAAGACCTTTTTATACTTATCTCCAGTCTTCCATAACAGTATATCATCCTCATGTGACATACTATTTTAAATTTCTCAATCTCCACTCAATTCTATTCAACACTAGAACTCTGTGATTTATTTTTCTATGATTTCTACACTTATCCACCATAGCATTCATAAAGATTACAAAGTCTATATTCCCTCCATTCCCTAAGATATCCTCTAAACAACCTAGAGAGACCAAGAATCATACTAGAATGAAGTTCTCTTCCCATTCTTCACTTCAAATCGATAACATTGCTTAGCTATCTCCCTGACTTTAATTATCTTCCTCCACATCCAAGAACCCATTTGTATGGTCTTTTTAACAGTCCATAAAGAGCCTTTCCTTATGAGATACATCTTCACCCAGTTAATCCACAGTGAGTGAACTGAGAGGATCCTCCATATTAATTTCAGTACACTGACCAGGTTCATCTCCTTAAGAGATCGGAGACCTAGTCCTCCTTCTTGCTTTGTTCTGCATATCTCTGTCCAGGCTATTTTAGCTTTCCTTTTCTTTAACTCTGGTCCTGACCACAAAAATGCTGAGCAGAGCCGTTCAATTTCTTTTATACAAGCACTAGAGAGCCTAAAAGCAGCCATCTAGAAGTTTACTAAGCTTGTGATTACTGATTTTATCAGTTGTAATCTCAGTCCATGTACCAATTTTTTTTCCTAATTTTCTCTATCAGAGGAAGAAAATCAGACACTGTCATACTCTTGGTCAATAACGGAAGTCCTTGTATCTCACCGGGAGTTTTCCTGCTGCAAATAGAAAATGATGGAGGACTTCTTCCTATTTATGAAGAGAGATACCTACCATAAACAGTGACGACTTCTCCAAACTTATTTTTAATCTTGACATTTTGTCGAAATTCTCAAAGACCTCCAATATCCCTTCTAGAGAATTATTTGTTCCATCTGCAAATACCATCAGATCATTTGCAAAATAAAGATGAGTCAGATCAATGTTTTTACATCTGGGACGGTATATCCTATTAGTCCACTATGCACATCTTCATCAATCATCTTGGATAACACATTCATGATGATAACAAACATGTATGGTGAAAGCGAGCAACCTTACTTTAGCCCTCTTTTACTCTGAAAACAACCAGCCAACTCTCCATTCACCTGAACTGAAAATGGCACTGTGGTGATACACACTGATATCCAATGAATAAACTTCTCAGGAAACCCAGACACTTTCAATGTAAAAAAGAAGCTGGTAAGAGTTGAATCTACTAAGTTAAGTACCAAGGAAACAAGCTGACTGCCACTATACTAAAATAACTAAGTGACATTTTTTGTTAATTAATTTGAAAGGTCAACTGATGATTGTAAGATAACACATGGCAGTTAGCCCAATGATCTACTATTGCCAATTGACAAAATTTAGGATCATGTTTAACCCGGGGTTTTGAATCCGACGTGAATCGAACATTAATTATTACATACCATTACGATTAGTAGTATGATTAAGAAAGAAATGTCTATATAAAATTTAACTTTTTCAAAATACTATATACTATTAAAATCATGCGTAAATGTATACTAACAAAAGTCATTCATAAACATTGTAATAGTGTTTATTTCATCATAAACTAATTAAAAAAAATTGTTCTCTTAAAATCATGTTTAAATGTATATTAACAAAGTCATCTGATTGATTGTACATCTTACGTAGGCATCATCGGTTTAAACAAAATCATTTAGTCAAAAACAAATTAAATTAATATTTGAAATATATGAAAACAGAATTAGTGCAAACAAAACACAACTAAAACCCCTACCGCATCCCTCCAGAAACTGAGGGTTTGTGGAGGGTTGATAACCCACGGAACTTCGATAGGAACAAATGGACTCCCAGTTATGTTAGCATCGAGAGCAACATTGAAGGTGGAGACTTGTTAGGAATCATCAGATTTTGCGCCTTGAGCCAACTTTCACGTTTGTGCATTATTTCTTTACATAGGTTTAAAGAAGTTCATCCTTATCTTTTTGTTATCCATGGATTTTTCTAATCAAGAACTGTTGTTTGTGTTAAAAATTATCGTCTGATCTCCAAAAAGAAATAAAAATTTGTTTTTCTCTATTAAAAACTCGATATTGGAAGTTTTAGTGAATAAGAAAAGAGAAATATTTCGGAAAGAAAAGAAAATTGATAATATGATTATTGAGTGAATTTATTTGTTTGGATTTGACTTTCACCTAAAATGATTTTTTTTTTTCAAAAATCTAGTTTTGTTATATATATATATATACTAGCACAATCTCAAAAATTTCTATAAATTTTTGAATTTGTATTCAGTTCATGATGAAATATGCATTGTTCAATTTTAAATAGGTTTTTCTCCCCCATATGATTGACTCATTAATCATGCATGCACACACATTTCAGTAGGCAGTGTCTAGTAATGCTAATGTCAATAGGCACAAACATTTGAATTCTTAACTTTATTAATTGTTGAAAATGTAATACAACCGAGGATTAATCCTTTGGTTACAGGATCAGTTGATGAATTTGAAAAAGTATGTTAATTACAAAGCCTCCTATTTGATTAGTTTAGTAATAAAACATCTTCTAGCCTATAAGATAGAAACACTTGGCTTCAGTGATGAGGCATCATTAATTTACTTCCTGTCCCAAACGAATCTCAACAATGAAAGTAATCCCTTAGGTAATGATTGTCAGTGATGACAAAGCTAACCTCCGAATTTTCGAAACTCGTTTGATGAGAGGGGATGACAGATAACATCACTGAAGCTCCAACAAATCTCAGAATCTCAACACCTGAAAGAAAAGAACAAAAACCAAATAAAAATAATTAAATAGAATCTTCCATTTTTCTTTATTATAATGTTTTATATCTTAAGCTATTGGTCATCGATACATACATATTTTAAAAAATTGTGAACATTACTATTGATTTTTTTTCCATTTGAGAACGAAAAGCAAACATCCTAAGATTAACCCAGCATTGTCAATATATTCCTTGAAGCCTTTTCCTTTCTTCTTTTGAGTGGCTATCAGCTAGTTTACTTCTGCAAACAACAAACCATTCTACAAATATTATCTTCAATAATCTAGTAACCTAAGCAATAAGATATTGGAGGCAGAGATGTGTGTATCTATAAAGCTCGGCCAAAAAATCTGTGTCACGTATAAAGTCAAGAAGCTTAATAACTTTGTCATGTATAAAGTCAAAGCAGGTTCAATGACAGTGGACGTATGAAGAAAGGAAGCCTAAAGTTTCAATGGTAGACTCAATAGTAGACTCATCATTCTATTTGTCATTTCATGCCTTCTTGGGAAGATTATCGCAAAAGATTGCAAGTAGTTCTGCAATTGAGCTTCCACCCACTGCCTTGTTACAGAAGATTACGTAGGCCAGTTATCTCTCTGACAAGCGTCTGCTCCTCCAAGCTACCACCACTAGTAAATGCGTCATTGGGATAAGAGCATTCCCTTGTGCAGTGTTAACTGATTTAGAACAGTTAAATTGTTTTCTAGAATATTGATCAAAAGCATAGGGAACATCATTAAATTTTCACATAAGAAAATCATCTCAGATTGTGATTTCTGAATCTAAACAACAATCTAAACTTTATACTTAGTTCAAAGGCTGTGCATTAAACAAAACAAGTTCATCTACATTATTAAAATAGATCTACAAATAAGAATTACTTTTTAAATTTACAACTTATTTACAATAGAATACCACATAGATATTTATTGAATTTATATTTAAGTATGATGTTTCTTTTACAGTTTAATAAATACCACACAAAGTAATAAATAATCTACTTTTTAAGATTTTTTTTTATCTTTTTCTATTTAATGAATGCATTTTCCTAAATCTAATTTAAAACTAAATTATCATGGAAGCAAATATATAAGAAAACCAATTTATCATTGCTATTATAATGATACTAAATATTCAGCCTACTATCATTGATGTACATAATTGTAATAGAGATTTTTTTGACACAAACCACAAAAATTTATGTTTTTATAATTAATATATTCATACTTATATATTAACTTCGCTATTTTGTACCCCAATCGTTTTTGTAGTCTTTCTAACAAACAAAATCAAAAATATAAAATTTCAAACCATAAATTTACAGATCAAAAACAAAATAAACTTATTCAATATAAAATTATTATGTTTAAATGTCATATTAGACAATTATTTAATACATATATGTACATTTAAAATTTCTATATTACTATATACAACATAAATAGTTATTTACAGAAAAAATAACCATGTGCTCAGGTGGGCATGTCAAGTTCTAGTGTGGACTTAAAACCCAAAGCCACTCGGTATTCCAATAATTTATTTTAACTGAATAAGATATGTCTAAACATGCAACGAAAGAGTTCTGCCATAGTGCCATATATATATAAAACAGTTTGAGAGTTTATGCCCGACAGAGTGATCTAACTGAAGCAAAACTGGTTAAGTAAAAAGAAGAATAACTTTTATTACTTTGATTACAAAATAACTCCCAACCGCATCTTTCACCAACTCCAAAGGTCTTTCATCAATCACTTCATCTCCCAAACGCCTTAGCCTCTCCAGGAGTCATGAAATGATCCCTATCCATGTTCTTTGCAATAACATCAATAGGTTTACCAGTGTGTTTTGAATAGAGCTCATTCAACGCATCACACACACGGACAATCTGTTTTGTGTGAATAGTTATGTCCTTAGCTTGTCCACTGTATCCACCTGAAGGCTGTGAATCATGACTGTTGCGTTAGGTAGAGATCGTCTTTGCCCCTTGGCACATGCTGCTAAGAGGAGAGAGGCCATTGATGCAGCTTGGCCTAAACAGATTGTGCTTATCGGAGAGAGAATGTACTGTATTGTGTCGTAAACGAGAAAATATCACAAAACTACTCATGAGACTATGGACACTAATATTACCAGCAACTAGGAGTGGATACACTAGAGAACGTATAACAATAACTATAATCTCCTCAAGCTAGTAGGTTTCATACATTTCAAGCAGCGTCATTGCATGAACCAGGTGACTAACTTTATGAATCACTCATTGCATAAACCTAAGATAGAGACTTTCTTGGTGGGTAAGCAAGAAAACCTAAGATCTTTGATACCCAAATCAACAGAGAAACCACAAAAGGCCAATAGCATTCGCTATAATACACTCATGAGACAATGGACTGAATTCACCAGCAACAAGGAAGGGATTCACTAGAAAACATGGAATTATAATGAAAACATGATTTCTAAGTAACAAAAATATAAGTAATTATTTTTTTTTGGATAAATATAAGTAATTGTTAATTATCAAAGAATTAGAGTAATTAGAGGTCAAAAAGAATTAGAGTAATTAAATTGGTTAGCGGTATAGTTTTGAATGCCTTTTTAAAAAATTTCCAAAAAATATAAAGTTGATAAAAATTTATTTTTGATTGATCATGGCATAAAGTGAGTAATTTAATCACTTTATCTAAAAATAGTTATAAAATTTAATGATAAATACTTAACTAATATTTGTTTTTAAATAAAATAATTATTGCTATAGAATTATTATTTTGATTGAGAAAATTTTTATGATTGGCTTAGGGCAACCATAAACGTTTGCACGGCTCTGTATATATATATGTATCACGGACAAAGACCCTAATCCTATTAAAAGGTCCATTTGACTAGTGTAATCGTTTCATTGAGGTCATTAGTAGATTAAATATATTACTTTGATGTATTTTAACTAAAAACTATAATAAATCTGAAAACTAAAAATTTAAATCTGTCAAATCATACAGAAAACACCTTCCAAATAATAATTTAGGTTATTATTCTAGTAAAACTAAAAACTAAAAAGTAGAATTAAAATTTAGATTAAGATTTTTTCATAAAAAAAACATTAGTTTACAAGAAGTATTATAACTATGAATGACACAGGAAAGCTCCTAATCAAATAAGATTTAGTGAGTTGTGGATTGTATTTGGAACTCAAAGAAAATATAACTTCTTACTTTAAAAACAGAAAATAAAAATTTTTGAAAAAATATATAGAATTATTATTTAAAAATTTTATATCCTCAAATCTAGAATTTTCTTCGATTTAGAAAATATTTAAATTTACTCAAATCCCTTGATCCAGTAAGCCCCATAAGAGTACTAGATATATCTGAGATGTGGTGAATGAATAAATGTAGTTTTGAAGCAATAAAATAATTAAATAAAAAACTACAAATTATTCTCTCTAAATGGTTTAAATTATTGGATATTATTAGTCCCTTTATTAACATATATCAATAATACAAAAACCAAACACACTCATATATACTATATAAAAGTTGAGGCTATAAGTTATTGAGAGCGTCTACTTAGGATTTAAACGATTAATCGCATATGACAAATCATCGATTTTGAAAATATGTTAATATTTCAAAAAAATCTTTAATAAAAAAGAAATCATTATAATATATGTCAAACTAGCAAAATTATAGTAAATTTGACAATTTACATAACAAATGGAAACTATTATAGTAGATGGAAAATAAAAGGCAAAATAGTAATATACAAAAAAAATTAAATCTTTTATGCCTAATAAATCTAAAATATATTTTATACCAAAATAAAATGTTAAATTAATGTTAAAATAGTTA